AAAATATGCAAACAAATAAATCTTCAGGGTGCTACACTTTAGAGAACTGCATTACATCACTGGGTACAACCTCCACAGGTATGGATGGCATCCTGCTGTGGTCTAGTTTGCTACCAGCTTGGCCCAGTGGCTGCTGGGTCTCAGAGAGGACCAAAAGGGAGCTGAGACCCAGAGTCCTCCGTAAACTACTTCCCCTCCTTCTCTAGGACTTCCCCTGATCACACATCTGCATCTTCTCCCACACAGGGGAAAAGCTGTCCCAAGGTTACACCCTGCAGCCTTATGTCCAGCTTCATCAGTAACAGACCCTTGGACATGCAGGGAACCCAGGGCAAGCCACCCTGCATCCAGCACCCCACCCTACCCCTCTTGCCCTGCTCCAACTCTTGCCTGACTCATGCAGTCTTGCAGAGTTGCCCCCCAACCCCCATGACAGTGGGGTGGGGGAGAATTCGCACTTGAGGATTCTGGCTCAGTATACCCTGTGGAATGCATCAGGGTAGCTCCACTTCCCCTACCTCTGCGGGGCAGCAGAACCCGCACTTTTCTCAGGCAGGATCTTGGACTCAACCCATATGCCCAGATCTGGCGGCTGCCTTCTGGTGTCAAACATAGTTTTGAACTGCCAAGAGGGGGATCACAGGTCAGGACGGAATATTTTTATGATAAAAAATGAGCCGCAGTTGCATCTGCTTCAGGAGGGTGGGAGCCATCACCTGAGGTCGCCCAGGCAGATGGATGAAAACCCCTCTTATGAAGTCACTGCTCCCCTATTAATTAGGGGGGAGGGGTCCTCCCACACTGAAGCAGACCTCACCAGTGGCCAAACGCTTGTCAACGTTTTCCATGGAGAATGAAAATGTGAATAGCTTTCAGATCATTCAATGTCATCAAGGTATGGAAGAAGGTGGCCATACTGGGTGTCATTTATCTAGCAGTGGATTTAAAGAGCTTTTTTCTATTAAATTTCCTAAAATTAATGTTTTATGTTGCTCAGAGTAATTTGAACAATTATGGGCTTAAAGAATTGATCATTACAGCCCCTGGGACTCAGCACTCCACACCGGAGCTTTTGAAACCCTTCTGATTTATCGTGGTGGCTACTCCACAGGGCCAGCCCTGGAGCTGGACTCTCCCTGCTACTTGAGCAGCCTGGGGTCTGATCCAGTGGCAGATGGTGGGGAGGGAGAAAGGGGAGGAGTGTGTCCCCAGGTGCCCTAGATTGAAGGGGTCCTAAGTCATGGGAGCCAGTAAGAATTTCACAATGTAAGAAGAGAGAAGCATTTTTTTTAAAATGTGTCTGTTGGTCGAAATAACTGCCCCCACCCCTTTTAGACAGGGCTTCACATGGTTCAGGATATCCTCAAACTGAACTAGCTTCCCAAGTGCCCCAAACCAGCAGCTAAAACTGCTGCTTCCCCCACCCCAAATCATTTGGGTTCTTCCATTTAAAGATAAACTACAGTTGTGAGACCAAAAGTTAACAAACCCAAGTGGGTAATCTCAGCCCCCCCCCACTATGCCATTCCTTTGACATTCCCACCCAAAGCCCATGGGACTCCCATCATGGCTGATGAGCAGATGGGCACGGGGCTGACCCACGCCATCCCTGGGCAGGGGCGTCTCTGCGATCAATCAAGAGATACATTCAAAAGGCAGGCAGGGATGCACAGGCAGGGATGCAGGACCCTGCACACTCCCTACTCGGCTCCCTCAGTCTAGGTCCTGTCTGCAGCATTTCCTCCAGCCGGGTACTGAAGCCAGAGTCTCCTAGATGACAAGGCCCTGGGGAGATGGGGTGCAGGGATCCTAAATTTCAGATGGGTACCTCATACACTACACTACCCACAGTAAGTCCCTGCAGATCTATGCCACCTGGAACCACCGGGCAGGGCTTCACCTCTTCTGCCAGGGCCTGAAGACAGCGGGTAGCCCAAGCTCTCTCTCTCTACCTCAGGTCTGGAACTTCCCAGGACACCTGTTGGGCTGACAGGGTGAGTTGGGGCTTAACTGTGAGGTCGGAGTCTGGATTCAAATTGCTGCAGTTTGATGAGGATGGAGTGTGGCGGGGTGGGGTGGAGGGCAAGCATTTCGATCCTGGCTACTGTGTACTCAGTAGCTATCTTCCAGGCCTTTGGGGGGCTGGGGAGGATAATTAGAGAGCAGTTCTGATAGGGATGCTCAGGTAGGGAAACTGAGGTAAGCAGGATTACCTTACCCACTCAGGACCTGCGTATGTGGGCCATACCCCGGCCGTTGGCCCTCAGCACTGCCCCTTTCCCACTCCTCTTGTACTAAAGTTATCGACAAGGCCAGCTGGAGAGAGCCAGCGGGGTTCAGCCGAGGAGAGAAGGCCCCCAAGGGGACGCTTAGCACTTCATTAACCTGTCAACGCCTAAAAGGTCCCAAGTGGCCCTGTGGGAGGGGCTGTAGGCTGGCCAGATGGGCGGAGCTTGAGGGTCTGACTGGAGAGCAGCCACAGTTATCTATACTTGCCCCAAATCCTGAATCAGACGTGGGCTTTGAGCTGCTGTCTCTTCGGTGGCCATCACCCTAAAAGAGAATTTAAATTCTTCTCTTCCATGCACCTCAGTTCTCTCCCCTTTGTACGGCATCCTCCTCAGGCCAGCACTCCCCTACCTCCCCCGCCTCTGCTATGCTCTGCAGGATCCTGAAGTGTGTGCCCCCCTCCCTCCTAGGACACCTGTACTTCCTTAGAAGCCCTTCTTTCAAATCAGGTGTGGTGGCCCACACCCTTAATCTCATCACTAGGGAGGCAGAGGAAGGTGGATCTCTGAGTTTGAGACCTGCTTGAGATATAGAGAGAGATCTAGGACAGTCAGGGACACACAGAGAAGCCCTGCCTCTGGGTGGGGGTGAGGGTGTGATGGAAGCCTTCTTTCTTGCACGTTCTACTGGATAGCATGGTGACACAGCCTCTCCCAAGTTCCAGGCAGTTCAGGCCAGAGCTGCAGGGCTGGGGAGTGACACTGGGCAGGGCCCCCTCCTCCCTCACCACAGCAGGTGCCCCACCAGGATAAACCCTTTCCACTCTGGGCCTCAGACTCCCTGTGAACCATGTGGATCGGTGAGAGGAGAAAGGGTTCGGATACCCAGTACAATGAGAGTTCCCAATCCTCACTCACTACAAGTCTGTGAATGCCCGGTGAATGCCAGAGGCTAGCCCTTTAAGATTCTTCTTATCCCCCTTTGGCCCATTTATCAGACCACTCCCCACACCTGTCTCTCCTTCCCTCCCTTTCCCTGGGGCAGGGCTGTCTCCTTAGTGAGAAGTATGGGTGCTGGAGACACAGACAGGGTTGCCTTAAAACACAGAGTCCTGACAACTTCAGCTCATGCCCCTTCAAGAGACCCAAGACTCCAAGAGACCAGGAGTGGGGGAGTCTAGCTAGGGAGCTGGGGTCTCCAGTTTCAAGCAGCTCCCCTTGACCACACACCAACAATGTTCTGTACCCACGAATCCACTTACCCAGCCCTCATAAGAGCAACCGATCTGGCTTCCTCCTCTGAGAATCAAGGACCCTGTCCAGACTTCCAGTCCACCTCATCTGGAGTGTGAGTTCCCAATGCTCTCCCAGCCACTAGCCTCTGCCTCTGCAGAACATAACCTGACAGGCTGGAACACCGGCCTTGATCCTTACTTGAAATATCTCTTTTCAAGAGTTTTGTCAGCCGGGTGGTGGTGGCGCAGGCCTTTAATCTCAAGAGGCAGAGATGAGGGGGATCTCTGTGAGTTCAAGGCCAGCCTGGTCTACAAGACCTAGTTCCAAGACAGGCTCCAAAGCTACAGAGAAACCCCGTCTTTAAAAACTAAACAAACAAACAAACAAACAAAAAGCCTTTTTTATCTCTGTTTAGGGTTCCCAGAAGTCAAGTCCTTGGCTCTATGTGACACGGCATGTTAGCAGGGTAGTTAGGATTGGAAATCCAATTTCCTGCTGCGACTCCTTGGACATCCCAGCCTGGCCTGAGATGGTAGAGACCCTAGGGCTCCCCACCAATTCCACCACAAATGGACAGACAATCCCATGCCTATTTCCAGGGAGACAAAACTCAGGGAGAAAGGAGGCCAAATTCCTAGCAAGGTCCAGCTTCAGGGAGCCCTAACAGACCCTCCTCCGCCCCTCCTCCCGTACAGCCACACTTCAGGTTTCAGAGGTCGTCCTGTCCTCTACTGCCGAGGCTCTGGGCTGTACCCTCCAGGCTCACTAGAAACACAGGCCTTCCAGCACTGAAACTGACAAATTTATTGAAGTCTTGGAAAGAGCGGATCACCAGAGAATAAATAAAAGTCACGGGACATTTACAGAACCAACAGGTGGCCAAGGTCCTGGTTTTCAGGAATGATTTTGACTTATGCACAGCCAAGCTTTGTGTCTGAGACTGACTGGATTCCGAGGACCCCCCCAGCCCAGCCTCCTCTAGTTGGGGAGACCTCCAAGTCTGGGCTGGCAGATTCAGCCCACCCCATCCTCCTGCACAGGATCACAGTCTGTTTGGCAATGATATCTGTCATTGGCGCATGACTCCGTTCTGCTCCCGAGAGAGGCTGTGCCTTGGGGGAAGAGGGAACTCTTCACGTTTAAAGACTCTACCCTGGAGAAGGGACTTCAGAAAGCTCCTCTTCCTCAATGCATTCCAGAGCAGAAAGATCGGGAGACTCCAGGGAGGGAGAGCTAGCATCTGAGGTCTGCTCCCAGGTTTTGTCAGTGGCAGGGGAAGACACAGGCATGGTCCCCAACCAAGTTCCATCAAAGCAATGAAACAAGCTGTCATCATTGTTTTCTGCCAGGACTTTAGGGCCAGGGCCTGGGCCTCCCACCTTGTTTGAAACAGTAGCAGGGGCCCCATTGACTGGTTTGTAAAGGGAGAGAAATGCTTACAAAACGTGGTCAAGAGTCACTGGCCTGTGGGCAGCCACCAGGCAGGCCACCGTGTGGCCAAGGAAGGGCTATGGAACCCCTCAGGCCCAGGGAAGAGCCAGGGAGCCTGGCAGTGGGGCAGTCCCTAATCTCCCACTTGGGAACGCTGTCCTTCCCTCAGAGGTCCTTGGGATGGACAACATGGGGTAGGGCTAGCTGCCCACCCAGAGGCAGCACCAAGACCCCTGAGTTAGAGCCAAGGGGAACTGGGGGCCTCGGTCAGAACTGAGCATGATCTACCTCATCCAACCAGGAGGCAGGGCTAGCGGGGAAGTCGGGGTAACCACCGCTGCTCTCCGTGGACAGATCAGAGCTGGGTCCATTTCCAGCCAGCACCCTCATGGGTGGGGGCCCACCTGGGGGCCCTGAGGGGACAAGACCCAAATTGGTGTCTGGGTATACCAGGCTAGAGAGGAGAGGCTGGGGACCAGAAAGATTCTGGGGGGCTGCAGGAGATGGGGGGATGCCATAGGGGCTTCCTGGGCGCAGCTCTCTGTACTGTTCTGGACCTGCCAAGCCTCCGTGCTCCAGCGCAAAGCTGCCGAGACCTCCTCCGACGGGCCGGCCCAGGGCAGGGGTGGGCTCTCCGAGGCTGCTGTACAGGCCATTGGCAGGCCCCATGTCTGCCATGGACTGCTCATCTGCAATAGAAAAGAGCTCAGCTCATCCCTTGGTCTGAGGTTCCTGCAGTCTGCTACCCGGATGGAGTAAGGGAGACTGTCCTAAGTAAAGAACGAAGCGGTCAGAAAGTCTCTCCGGCTCTGTTGTAACTTCGGACAGCCTTTGGCTCCTCCACGCCCTACCAGGAGCGCTTCCAAGGAGGCTTTGATCTCAGTCAGAGGCTTGCTATTCCAGCCAGAGCTCAGGATGAGGCGACCCTGGGAGGGACTCGTTTTATTGTTGAGGAAATTCAGGGCCCCAGCGCCTGTGTTAGGAACCCGAGGTCACAATACAGCCCCCGAACAGAAGTGGGTATCGGTGTTCTAGGTGTGGGAAATAAGGTTGGGTTCCACAGACGAGGGTGGAAGTTTCTCTCTGCCCTCCAAAGTTGCAGTCCGTTGTCTCAAGGACATCAGAAAAAGGGAGCCTAAGGGCCAACTTAGATCCTTCCCAGGAAAGCAGCCGGGAGGTGGGATGGGGTTGGGGTAAGAGTCCCAGCCCACAGCTAGTTAACGCGGAGGGCTTACCAGTGAAGGAGACCTCGGCGTCGCTGTCCTGTCCCTCCTGGATGCTGTCCTTGTCGGACTTAGAGCTGCCGCGGGAGCGCTTCATATTGCGGAAATACTGTCCCCAGCGCTGCCGGCCCGCGTCTTTCTTCAGTCTCTTTTCCTTGGCTCGGCGGTTCTGGAACCACACCTGGAGGGTAGGGATGGTGAGTGGCCGCCCGACTGCCCTTGGAGCGCATGGCCCTTCTCGCCCGCGGGCCCGGGGGAACGCGGCCAAGCGCTGACCTGCACTACGCGCATGTCCAGGCCGGTCTCGGAGGAGAGCTGCTCCCGCACGTGGCGCGCCGGCTTGGGCGAAGTGTTGTAGGCGCTCTTCAGTGTCTCCAGTTGCTTGGCGGTGATGGTCGTGCGCGGTCGCTTGGCTGTGGCCTCGGCTTCTGCGCGGGACAGACGGTGAGGCCGGCAGCCCTCTCCGGAGGGCCGCACCAGCCTCACCCCAAGAGCCCCGCATCGCTCTCCGGATGCTCATGGTGCCCTAGCTCCCAGGCTAAGGATGCCCGTGGCCCCACGCGCTTCTCTGAACACGGAGCGCCGGCAGATGGGTTCTGTATTAAGAACCCGCCGTGGCGCGCATCGTAGCCAGACACAGTCCTTGCCCCTCTTATTCTAAGGGTTTGTGTGAGTTAGGTCTTCGTGGTCAAAGCTGCTAATTCTTCATGGTCAAGGCTGCTAATTCTCCCAAAGCGGGCAACCTTCTGTTCCCGCCAACGCAACTGCTACTCGGGCTCCCGGAGCAGCCTGCTTAGTGCCTGGGGCTTCAGGTCGCCCCACCTCCCAGCCACAAACCAATTCCCGTCCCCAGCCTCCAAGACTGAGCGTTTCCCTCTTTTGCAGTGAGGGCCATCCCCGCCCACTGACCTCGCTGCTTGGCTGTTTCGTAGTCAGCCTTGCACACCAGCCGGCTGTCTTCCATGAGGTAGAACTCGTCCCCCGTGGCCAGCTGCCGCTTGCAAACCACGCAGGCAAAGCAATGCAGGTGGTACACGAAGTCCTGGGCGCGGCGCACCACCTGTGTGGGCGGGATGCCCAGCTGGCATGCGGCACACTTGGTCCCAAAGCGCCTGCGGGATGTACAGAGTGCGGCTCAGTAGAGCCGTACAGCAGCTCCTTTGCCCGGAGCGGGTCGCAAAGCCGCGAGCTCCCAGCGCCTGGGACGCGGTCAGGAAGACTCCCGCAGCTTCCGCAGAGCCACAGTACCCTGGGTAGCCTAGCCTGCTCCCTGCTCTTGGGGAAGGTCGGTTTAGAGGCCATCTTCTTACCTGGGTCAGTACCCTCGGCTCTAAGAAGCCCGAGCTTCCCACTCCCCAGATATTTAAGGAACAAAAACACATTTTAAGAGGGAGTATGTCTCATACAATTCTACAATTGTATTTGGATTAATCTGTTTCTTTTTTTTTAACTTAATAACTGCTTTTCAAGATTTGCAAAACTAATTATCCTAAAAAGTAACGCTGGGGTTTGGAGGTTCGGCTGGGCTGGGTTAAGAGCACTGGCTGCTTTTCCAGGGGACCCGAGTTCAGTTCCCAGCACCTACATAGCAGCTCACAGCCATCTCTAATTCCAGTTGCAGGAGATCTGGTGCCCTCCTCAATCTTCCGAGGGCACCAGGCATGCACGTAGTGCATAACACGTACATGTGGCCTGTTACAGTACAATAAAATAAAAATGGTTTTAAGAAATATCACAGGGAGCCCCATCCTGAGCTGAGCCAGACCGCAGGGTGCCCTACATGGTTAGGGACCTAGTTATCGGCGAAACTTGCTCTCAGTCTCTTTTCCCCCACATGGTGCAGAGCAATTCGGCAGGCTGCTTACTTGAAGAAGTCATCTTTGCAGTAGACGCTTTCCCCGCGGCTGAAGCAGCGCTCAGCCAGAGGTATGTGGCAGTCACTGCACTTGAGACACTTGCTGTGCCAATGTCGGTCCAGAGCCTTAAGGATGAAGCGGTCCAAGATGTGCTGATCACAGCCGGCACACATCGGAATCTCTGTGGGTACAAAAATAACCCAGGTCGTGGGACCACAAAGAAGGGTGATGGCCCCTTCATTGGCTGGAACCAGCTGGCAGTCCTGCAGACTTCAGGGTTGCACACCTTCCCTTACAGGCTATCTGGGCTGCCAGGCTCCCCAGTGAGGACAACAGAAGGATATTGTATCCTGCGGCACCCCTTGGCCTCGCTGCGCTGCTGTCAAAGGAAACTCAAATAGGCCTAGAAATGTGTCTGAACAGGAAAAGTGACCAAGCTGTCCCCCAAAGCCGAATAACTGTTCCTCAAGATGTCCCCAGTGCCAAACAGGGCATGTCCATCTCAAATGAAAATCCTGCCCCTTGGGTGATCTGGAAAGCTGGGACAGAAAATAGGAAACATCCTTACTAGCAAGGGCAAAAGGCCACACACAGGACTTTATTGCCTTTGTGACTTTCTCAATGGAGCGCCTTGGCCTCACTCCACAGAATTCCAGCAAATAAGGCTGTCCAGCCCAGGCCCCTGCCTGCAGATCTGAGGAATAAACGAACCCTGGCATCACCCTGAGTGGCTGCAGGTATTTAGGAGTGACTGGCTACATTTTTATGAGTAGATCTCTTCTGCTCAGGTGTGAGTTGACGTGCATAAGGTGGCCTCACCCTCTACACCCTCAGTTCCTCCTCAGTTCTGATCCCTGACCCCCACCAGACTTCCGGCCTCAGGAGAATCGGATTGGAGAAATCCAAAGCTGCTTTTCAGGAGCCAGGGAAACCCCCCCTGGGGCGGGGGGAGGTGCTCTTCTTCATGTTCATGGGATGAAGAGTCCCTGATAATTTAGGAAAGATTTCTAGAAGAGAGATCCATGTGCAGGACCTAGGACCCACTCATAGGACAGTGTCACACCCACGCCAGTGTCCTTACCTCTCTGGCTACAGACAGCTAGCTTCAGACTGGCCTCCAGCTGGTGGGAGGGCTTAGAAAAGGAGGAAATGTGTCCTACCACCCTCCAGCACTGGCCTGGAGCCTGCGACGGATGCTGTCCCGCATTAAGCAAAACCACATCTCCAAGTGTGGACATGGAGATCGTCTATAGTGTATCAGAATTACCACCACACCACGAGAACCATCCTAGGGCAGCAAAGATATCCAGAAAAGAGTGGGGTGGCCGGACAGGCAACGCCTATTCAGCACCCAGGGACGGACAGCGCCTCAGCCAAGAAACTCACGGGACCCGCTTCCTACAAAAGTCCTCGCCCACGGTCAAGACTCCCTGGACCTCCGCTTGCTTACGTTGCATGGTGACTCCAGCCTCCGCACAATTTCCTGCACAGAGTTGGAGGGCCCTGTGGAGCCTCGGGAGCCACTAGCGCTCTAGCAAGCCTCCCAGAGCTCGGGAACCTTGCTTACCAAAGTCCCCTTCCTTTCTCTTCCTCCCCTCCCACCTCTTCCTCTCAGCCCCTGCGGTCAACCCCTCCCATAAACAATCGGAAAATAAATAAAGAAGCAAGTATGTCATATCCGACCCCCAGACGGGATAGAATCTTTTTCCCGCCTGCTCCGACTTTCTGCCAGTCTAATTGCCCCTTTCCCCGTCCTGTATCCCATTAACCCGAAAACCCGGGAAGCGCTCCGCTCCTATTCCCCTGCAAAGAGATTTGGTACCACCAAGAAACTGGGGACCCGGACAAGCCCCACTCTCCCCTGCAAACAGGTCTTGGCCACCAGTCTAATTTGGTAAGCTGCGAGTGCAGCCACCAAGACCCAATTCAGGGGAGATGTGCTGTTCAGCATGACCTGGCCCTGATCCCTCTGAAAATTGGGGAGGGACTGGGTAAAGGCAATTCCCTTGGAGACACCCTTGCTCCCTTATTCCTGGATTTCTTGAAACAGCTTCATATGCTCTCTCTAGCTCAAGGGCCTCAGCCAGCTCAGAGCTGGGTTCCCCTAAACCGTTTCTGAGTCATCAAGGCTCCCGAGCCCGAGGACCAAATGCCAGGACAACACAGTAGCAGGGGCCCCCACACACTTTGGAGGTTGAGGAGCCTTTGCCTAGCCGGGCCAGAACCCTTGCCGGAATACCCTGGCTTCTTCCGGCCTATGCGCACAGGCCAGGAAAAAAACAAAAAACAAAAAAACAAAACCGAGGACATCTGAGCCTGTCGGTGCAGCCGCTCCGTCGGGCACCCACCTCGGCGCAGGTCAGCCCTCCGTGCCAGCAACGCCAGCAGCAGGTCACCGCTCGCCGATTCCCGGGCCGGGTCCAGCTCCCCTCGAGCCTCCATGGGGCCGGGGCCGGGTGCTGCTGCCTTCCGACCCTGAACTTCTCTTGGGTCCGGCGAAGCCACCGCTACAGAGACTCCAAGCTGGCGTCGGAGCGACTCGTGTCGCTGCTGGGCGTTGTGCCCACGGGAGGCCTCGGGGCGCCAAGCCACGGGCCCGCGGAGGGCGGAG